CCCCAAAACCCCAAAACCCCAAAACCCCGTATGGTATCTAATTTAAGTTTTGGCAAAAATCAAAACTAATTGAGGTTAAGCTGATTAATCAGTATATACTATTATGAGAATTATTTCGAGACCTGACGTGCTGATGCTGTCATTCTTAAGTATTATTTCCTTTGCTTCGTGTTTCAAAGGTGAAGTTCATCTATTGAGTAAGCAAAAATTAACCTTCTTAAAGTTTCGACTTAGTTGCAAGAATCGCATTCGATAAGCTCTCTGTTGATAACCCCTAATCGATCGAAAAAGCAGAATAACTTCTTCAAACTCTCACAAAAAGTTACCCTAGTCTAACTGAGAAAGAGAAAAACCACCCATTCGTTGAGTGTGCAACTTTGGCTGATGATATAAAATATAAAGGCGGCTCTTGGTAGTCAGACTGGCATTTTACCGATATACCCTGGTTTGAAAAAGATATGCAAAGCACAAAAGATTCTAATCACCAAGATATTTCCAAGTCTAATCCAGAAAATTTGACTGCAGTTGTGCCTTTGATGGTGAGTTGGTTGAGTTCAAATCCTTAAAGTCCAAAATCACCACAAAAGCATAGTGATGAAAATTTCGTGAGAGAGAAAATTCTCTCAAAGTTCCATAACGATGAATAGATCTCTAGATCCTTTGGTTTGAGACTCCTGATTCACTATTTTGGCGACATACATCAGCCACTTCATTGTTCTAGCAGATATGATAAAACTCATCCAAATGGGGATAGAGGAGGAAATATGTTTGAAGTTCCATATCATTACGGTTCTAATGATCTTCATGGAGTATGGGATTCAGTTCTTTATGAATTTTACGAGTCTATCAAGCTAGTAAGTATTCTTTTGAATTTCATATTAACGTATTTGATAGCCATTAGCTGATGATTCGTGGAAGCACCTAGGAGACATCTCCTAATAGTTAATCCAAAGACAGCAAATTGAGGATAAAGATGTTAAAAATTTGAATGTAACTCAATGGACGATGGAGTCCTACAAACTAGCACCTAGAGCTTATGATGGTAAAAATTAAGATGATAATTCAGTTTAGGAATTATTCCAGACTAGAAGCTAGATGAAAAGTATATCCAGGAAAACTTAAAAATGTTGGAGAGATAATTGGTACTTGCAGGTTTAAGGCTTGCTCATATTTTAGATGTTATTTTCAAAGAGCAGTCAAGAGAGCAGTTGACTTTGCTACAACAGATGAGAGATTTTGTGGAATAGAAGGATGGGCCCAAGCACCATACTGATGAAATTAAGATGATTTCATTAAATGAAATGGAAAATCTTTTAATCTAATGAAGTTTAATATTGCTAAGTCGATATAATTTGCTTTATAAATTCCTATATATTTGATTCATTAACTTTGAACTAAATATTGAAACTTGGGGTTTTGGGGTTTTGGGGTTTTGGGG